CGGGGGGGGGGAGGGGTATATGTGAGGCGAAAAGATTCGAGGCGTAAAGAGAAAAGAGAGGGAGGGCATGAGGGATTGAAGGGGAATGGATAGTGAGGGCCAGGAAATGGAGGGAAAATGGGTGGAGGTTGGACGGATGGGATGTATTAGACAGAAAAAACAATAGGGATTACCTTTGCCCTGGTATTTCGTACCATTTTCCTCATTCGACCGACTTTCATCGGTCAAGTTCGGATTCATTGGTCATGTGACGCGAGGGTGAGACGAAAAAAATGAGGTTATGGGCGGGAATTCGTAGAAGCGCGGGAGATTTAAATCTGAAAACAAGACAATCAATCGGGAGAGCAGTTCTGCGATAGAATAGTCTCGATTTAATTTACAATAGTCTCATTTATTCAATGATTCAACTCTTTGTCTCAGTCACTACCTCCAATTCTCTTTTATTCATTTCTGGTCTGAATGAAACAATAGAAGTCGCTGTGTCAAAAGAGTTTATTCAGTCGAGCGATAAATTACTGTCTTTTTCAATTAGTAGGGACGACGAGGAGTAATAGCACGCAGTATTTTTTCATTATTCGGGGTTGATAAAAATAACAAAAAAAAGGTAAGATTGTAGGACAGGAATATTTTTTAATGAAAAAAACCACGAGAGCAGCAGGGCGTGAGAGAAAATATCTCGTCCCTAAACTAAAATATCCTTTCATACTTTGTACACGTGTATCTGGATGTACATGGCTCGGGGTTTTTTTTAAGTAGATGCCCTTTCATTATTCTTGGTATCATTTCTTTGTTGACGCGGTTGGTCTGTCCGAGGTTCTGATAAAAACAGAGGGCTATGACAAAGAGAAATGTTTCATCAGGAAATCATTCTGAGAGAATTATTATCACGAATTTGTCACAATTTTCTGTCTGAACTCTTCTTCCCTCCAACTTTTGTTGCTCTCTCTCCGCTTGATGATGGCACATTTGCGGGTAACAAGTGTTTCAAGGATGAAACAAATGTCATTTTTCTTTTTGCCACTTGCTCTCAACTCACATCCCACATTTTCTCCCAAAATATATATAATTGAAAAAAGCATTGTGTTCGACAACCTTGACAATTCTCTTGAAATCCTTGTTAAGTACTCAAGTATTCTTGATACTTCTCACTTCTACGAGAAACTCTCGATACCATGGATTTGAGAAACTACAAGGGTGGCATTACCTATCTCTATACCTATTCTCTTGGTTTCCAGCATTTCTCAACTCTCAAGGGTAATCCCTCAAGGGAGCAATCGAGATTCTGAAGCGAATGGTCGACGGCGTACCTTATTACAAGTTCGATTCCCCTCTCTTTCTCCTTCTATAACCAGTCCCTGTTTACTCACACTGCCAATAGAACGTCACCCCCCCCAGGGGCCAAAGATTGTTCTGTCTTACCATGCTCATCATCTACTCACATCCCACCCCAGGATTCCTCGTCGAGGTCGAAGTATTCTACCGTAATTCACATAATTTACGGAGGGTAAGGGAAATTTGGGTCAGTCAAACAATAAGTTGAGGGAGTCTGATGAGAGTTATTGAACCAAGTTGGTTGATTTTGTTGATGATGAATGTACAGATGTGCATTGAAATCTCACGAAGAGTTGGGATTATTCTTAGACTTTGACAATTTAATTTTTCACAATTTTTTGCAAACCAAGGGAGATAGGGAAATTTTTGTAATAACCTGTTCTGTTGGTCTTAGTTCGCTCTAAAAAAAAGGTTAATATGAAAATTTGGCTATCTGCCTTAAATTACGAAATATTCATTGAAAACTGATCAATCAAAATCGACTTGACCCGTTTTACCACTTCGGTACTGATTTAATCACTAATTTGAAAGAAATCATCACTGACAGTTGTAAAATATTCTACAGAATTCATTGTACATTCTCCTTCAATGGATGAAGTACCGCATAAATTGAAATAACGCTGTTCACAAATTTTGGCCATTCAACCTTATGGCTATCCGCATAAATTGCCATTACGATATGCAAAAAAATATTTTCACTTCTCCCATTTCCCACAAATGATTATTTCCACGCCCGCATTAAAATTTACCGATGAAAATAAAATCATGAGAAATGAGGGCAGAAATAATAATGAAAATGCTGGCACCCTGCAGAGACGTTATTTTGAATGATTCATTCGCGGTTGGAGAGAGAGAGAATGTGTGTGAATGAGAGAGGCTAGACTGCAGAAGGGAGTAAAATTGGTTGTGTATAAAAACAATAAACCGACGGGGCGATAGTGCGTCAACAAAAGGTATACCTACAACAAAGCCAATGAAAAAATTGGAACGAGGGAGAGAAATTAAAAACAACAATTTATATAGTGGATATGACATTTTTTCCCCCCTATCCGCTCACAATTACCGAAGGTAATAACGTTTAATCGATATTGCCGGGATGTAAAAACAATACGTGCACCTACCGTCAATGATTAATGGGTTCAGTTACTGAATTCAGAGATGGAAAAAAAAATGATGAAGGGAATTCGATGATTACTGCAGTCCGTATTTTTTCAAATTATTTATGTCCTTTTATCATTGATTACAATATTGTGGGAGAAGTTAATTATTAGCTGTGGATGGGGAAAAGTGAGGGCCAACTCAAGCCGAAAAGTGGAATGGATTGGGTCAAATTCACGGGTCAAATCTCGTGGGTCAAACTAAGGGTGAAGCAACAAACTCAAATCGTTTTGATGATGTGTGGGTTAAAACTCAGGGCCCAGTTGATCCTCCGATAAAGCCCACTTTGCTCCACTCTTCCTCTAAATGATCAAGTCAGGTCATCCTCTGCTGTCTTCACCGCAACCCCCAATTTTTAATAACTATTTATTACATTTCCACCCCCCCCCCATCCTCCCTATTTTCCCCACATAACGAAAACTCAATCGGACGTCTGGAAGTCTCTTTCACCACAACGCAGTGCGAAGAAAAGTATCTCCACTCCGTCTCTATTCTCCCAGCCCTCCCATTCTCCCTTCCCCTCCCAACCTTTTTCTCTTATTTTCTCTTATTTTTATTATTTCCTCTTTATTTTTCTCATCTTATTCCCTGTCTCGATCTTCCCACTACCGTTCTCATAGTAGTTCCCCCGGATCCTCAACTCTTACCGAGGTAAACTGCTTTCGACTCTCCTGCCGCTTTCGTACCGAATCACGCTCTCCCGCCTCGGGGAGAACATACCCCAGGAGAAACTCGGTTCATTCATTTTTCTTTCAACTCGAAAAAGACGAAAAAGGAAAATGAAAGGAGGAGGGAGGGAGCGGATGGAGAGAAAGAAACGAATGAAAGGTATAGGATGGAAGAAAAGAGACGGTTCTTTCGGAAAAACCTTCGCAGGATCCGCCAGAAAAACCTCTCACTGTTGAGGGGGCGGGCAGGGGCTGTGCTGGTGCTCGGAAACGAATTTAGCGGTGTGGTACACCGGGCAATGGGAAAAAAGCCCTCGCCAGTGGAAAACTTTTCCTACGGTAAAATTATGCTCAACTTCTCTTTCTCTCTCTTTCTCTTGCACTCATTCACTCCCTTATATTCGGTCTTTCGTGATTCTC